CATTAATAAATCTTTAGCAACCACTAAACTAATGGTTCCAAATATTATCATCATAACCATAATTATATTAACTAAATTCATACCCACGCGTTGCATAGACCACTAACAATAAAAATATTTGTATTTAAAATTTATCAAACATTATAGGGTTGACTACGTTGGTCCCCCTCAACTTTCCTCATTCCGTTCCAATCCCCCAAGACTTTTGACCTCTCTACTTTTTTTCCTTAAAAAGTACATCTCTTCATATTTTCCCCTAAACTATTGAAACTCTTCAAATTTTCCAAAATCGAGATTGCGTTTCATTAACCGAGTATTAACCGATATTCGTCTAACCTAATCGCGTTTACAATAACCTTAATTTAGCTAAAATTTGAATCTTACCCCTATTTAAAACCCTTATTTTTCACAGAGAGGGTTACAATACGGATTATATTAAACATGATTATGAACCAAATTAATCTAAACGGTATTTTTTTAAACACAATTTCCGGTTAATTAAACGAAATCAATGGTTTAACTCGATTTGAGAAATTTTGAAGAGTTTGAATAGTTTGGGGGAAAATATGAAGAGATATACTTTATAAGGGGGAGAAATAGAGAGGTCAAAAGTCTAGGGGGATCGGAGCGGAACGAGGAAAGTTGAGGGGGGCCAGCGCAGTCAACCCGACATTATACGACATAAATATTGTTGAAAATAGCTTTTTTCATTGAAAAGTAACGAATTGTGAACCTCACGGGAAAAAAACGATTTCAGTGACAATCTAACGACACTTTCTCTTGGAGAGAGTTCTTACACTAAAAAAAATTAAAAATTCATTCTGAAAATTGAAATGGTGTATTTTAAATATAATATATTATGTTGGATCTTAAAAAATTATTTTATGAGTACGAATCAAATCTATCATATTCTTGTATTTTCTATATTATTTAAATTATTTTGTTTAATACACAATAACACTCATTTTCTTTAAAAAATATTTAAGTGAGTTTGTGTATCTTTCGATCAAATTTTGCCATTGTTTATGTAAGTATTCATAATTAAATCCATATTTCTCTAATCTAAAATTATATTATTGTAAATTACTTTTTTTGGTAAATTATTTGAGTTATCACTTGTTGTCAAGTTCAAAAAAAGATGTTTTGGAGTTTTT